GGGGCGCCCCATGGCCGGTGGCGGGGGGACGAGCCGCGGGGCTGCCCCTGGTCGGACGCCGCCCCCGGGGCGGCCTCTGAGCTTGCCTTTCTCTCCTGTCCGTGCAGCTGGTGGGTTCGGACGAAGGCCTCCAGCAGCAGCTGGCTGAGGCGATACTCCGAGAGAAGAAGAGCTTCAGGATCAACATGTGAGTGGTGGGGAGGGACGCGCCTCCTTCGGCCCCGGCCGCAGGTCCTTAGTGGAACCCGTGCAAGGGCCCTCTGTCACCTTCTCCAATAGATGGAGCCAAAGCAGCGGCTGTGATGCGAATTCACGAAAGCTTCCGCTTCAGACATAGACTAACCGAAACTGCTTATAAATGCAGCTTCTACCCAAGTGGCGGTAGCTAGAACTGCAGGGCGCTCTTTTCAGAGACAGGACTTGATCTGGTGGACGCTGCAGTGCACTACTGCCACATGGCATCCCGCTCTGTCTCCAGGGCAAGCAGTTCGAGCATAATTAGAAATGGGGGGTGGAAATAATCTTCACGTTAATCATTCCCCCTCTGCTCTGCTTTCATGAGACCCCACTTGCTGTACTGTGTCCAGCTCTGGGGTACCCAATGTAAGGTCATGGACCTGTGAGTGGGTCTGGAGGAGGCCATGAGATGATCAGGGGGCTGGAGCACCTCCCCTGTGAGGACAGGCTGAGAGAGTTGGGGTTGTTCAGCCTGGAGAAGGGAAGGCTCTGGGGAGACCTCATAGTGGCCTTCCAGTACTTCAAGGGGGCCTACAGGAAAGATGGGGAGGGGCTCTATCGGAGAATATAGTGATAGGACAAGGGTAACGGTTTGAAACTGACAGAGAATAGATTTAAGGAAGAAATTCTTCACTGTGAGTGTGGTGAGATGCTGGAACAGGTTGCCCAGAGAGGTTGTGGATGCCCTTGGCTTGGAAGTGTTCAAGGCCAGGTTGGATGGGGCTTTGATCAACCTGGTCTAAGTGGAAGGTGTCCCTGCCCATGGCAGGGGGGTTGGAACTAGGTGATCTTTAAGGTCCCTTCCAACTCACACCATTTTAGCAATCTGTGATTCTGTGTGCACTATGCACATGCCTTTACCCTTTGTATGTTGCACAGATGTTTGATTACTAAATTTCAACAGTATGAGAGGAGCACAGATTATTTTCCTCCTGGGAGACAGGCAATACAGGAATTAAACATCATGGGACAAGTACAATGCTTGCAAATACTTGAAACCAAACAAGTTTTCCTGAAAGATGTCCATTACTTTTGGTGCTCTTCATAGTCATTTCCTGCTTTGTATGCATGCATGTGCTTTTCCTCAAGATATTAAGATGCATTTGGAATTTTAACTTTAGCTGCATGACAAGTCCCATCTTAAAAGCTTGATTAACTTTTTACAATATAATGTCCGTGACAGCTCTTTTGCCAAGACTAAATGAGTTTAGTCGGCTCTTCAGAAGGTGTTTGTTATTTTGCTGCTGTAATCCAAGGCTATACAGTAAAGGCAAACCAGAGCTAATTCTACTAGCCAGTTAGAGCGACATGGTGTCTGGCATGTTAGTTAGCCAATTTTCCATGCAAATCCTGCAGCCTCTGCTGAGCTGTGGAGTACTATGAATAGATGGCTACTGGTACTACAACTGGGTAACTACCCAAAGGCATGGAAAATTATGCTCATACTACAGAGCAAAATAAATCCCTGTGCTAGTATTACCAGGGAATCAGAAGTCCATGATGAAGCAGAAATCCATGACAGGCTTTTTCCCCACTGTGTGTCTTTGGGATTATACACATTACAGAGCAATGTCTGCAAATTGTCTGGCAAGTCTACCTGCCAGATATAACTGGTGGGAGAATTGCAGGTTTGTGTCTCTTACCACAAAGAAAATTCTGCAGCACGTGTCTGGAGGCTGCTGACATCATCTAGTGATGTTGGCTTAAATATAGTAGAATTCCAAATCATGAAGGCTTTTTGGCTTGTTCACAGCTTTTCCCTAAATTTCACCTTAAACTTATAAGCTTGTTTGTGTTGCCATGTATCTTTCAAGCACACTTTACTCATATGGTTCTTGGTTTTCTTTTCTTTTTCTTTCTTTGGTTTCAGAATGTGTTTGTTAAATCATACTGTCCTTATTTATAGGAAACAAAAGACTTTTATTTGGACACTAGCAGGCAAAACTACGAATTATATATGATTAATAGAAATGTGTACTGTGGTCTGTGGCTGCTGGGGAAAACTTAAGTCCTTAAGATTTAATTGCTATAAGTAATGTTGCACAAGGAGACGAAAATTGGTGTTTCTCTCTTGGCTTCCAGAGAGGAAATGGATTGTGAGAGAGACTGAAATTCTGGGATTTTTTGTCTAATTTGTCTTTAAGGTGATCTTCCAGAAGTATGTTGCTGATAATATTCTTCCCTGTGGAAAGTCCAGATATGCAGTATTGAAACTTTTTTGTAGTGAGAAGAGACACAGATCATCCTCACCCTCTGGTGGTTCTTCCAACAGCTGTATCAGCAGTGGTGGTATTGTGTAGAACGACACCTAAACTTAACCTAATAACTCCTGATACAGTGAAAGGGATAAAAACGAGGGTACTGGCATAATAGAAGCTCTTTCTCAGTTATCACTTCATCTAAATAGCTATACCAGCGATAAATTTCTGGTTACAACACACCTTTCTGTAACATGAACACATAAGAAAGTAGCCTCTGCTGTGTGAGTGTATGAGCAGTATCTCTGGAATGTGGCAGGAAAGCACTGGCACGCTTTAACTTTTGCTGCCATGATTGGCAGCAAAATATGCCAGTAAAGCATTGGGGTTCACTTTGTTGAAAAGGAGTCTTCTTAAAAATTAAATAAAATGACTGCCATGCAGATCTGTGTGGAGAAAAATGTTTCTGTGAGTCTTGTTATGCTCTAATAAGCTTCCCATTATAAACAAACTTTGTCTAGCAAGTATCATTGTGGCTGTCAGCAACTATGAGCAGGCCTAAGATATGAGAATACCACTTAAAGAGTCATGGTGTCTTTTCAGTGCCTCTGTATTTAGTAGTTAATGGGCTTCCTGGTAACTTGCTACGTGGTGAACTGCAATGGTAATGTGCTTTTGGTTAAGTGGATACCCTTGCCAAGCTATTTGGTTAAACTGGGGAATGTATTATCTTTCAGTCACCTTGCTACATCCCTCCCCTTACCTTCAGAGAGGGATCACCTTCGGCCCAGGATAGACCTGATTGCATTTATGATTGACATCAAGAGCAAATACAGGTAAAAAACAAAAATGAGAGGGGAAACTGGTATTCTGTCTTGGATTGATGGCTAAATCTACATTTTACTATGTCAAAATTTCTGAATAGTGGATTTTTAACCCAAGGCTTGCTGTGGTGGAACAGCTCAGTAATATAGACAGTGGTTTTCTGTCTTCCAGCCACGGATTGGGACTGAACTGCTCTGTCTAATAACATGCCTGTTGTGCACTAAGTTGCCATAGCAGAGAAGGCAGGATTTATTCCTGGATCCAGAATAGGAAAATATGAACCGAGCTTTAGAAAGACACTGTCTGTAAAATTAGGTGGAAGTGATGGTGGTGCCGTTAAGTTCTGTAATATGCAGATGGCTGATGCACACTGGGCAGTGCTACCTAATAAACAGCCATTTGCGCTGTGTGTGTCCCCAGTTCACTGGTACTGCTGGACACATGGGATCAGCACTACAGATATGTCTAGGCAAAAGAAAAAAGTCTGCAGGGATTGATCCCTTTTCTCTCCTCTTGTGCTTATTTATCTTTGTAGAAATGATTATTTGTGTCCCAAGGCTCCAAGTAAAGACTTGCTAAGGCACTAAAGTCAGCATTTTATTACTTACTTGTGACTGATGACCCTGGGCTCTCATTTTGCCAAAAATTACAGGCCCAGCTGTATACTTACAGCACAGATGGTACTGCAGGAATGTGTGGGCTAGCTCTTCTGAAAGAGCCAAAGTAGTGTTCAAGTCTTGTGGGATGTTAATGAATTTGGATGCTTAGTGTCTGCAAATTGTGGAGCACACCTTCCAAACTAAGTCTAACTGAGTTGGATAGAGTAGAAAGGATATATTATGGATTATTAAATGGCTGTGGGTATTACAGAGGTCTCTGATGCCACACAGAGTGAGCATAACTCTGCCAGCTCACAGATCAGCAAATGCTAACATCATTGGTTTTCTAATTGTGCTTCTGAAAGTTATTCCCTTTGTCCTTATGCTGCACTGGTTTTGCCTTCCTGTCCAACTAGATTGTCTGTGCTTTTCTGACAGCTTGAGGAATGTTGAAGCTTCCCTAGCTTATGTGGATGCCAGTTTCTTCCTGGGAAAAGTATGCTTTCTTGTCACTGGAGGTATGTATGGCATCTGGCCTCTTCCTCCTCTCCAAGCAGCACAACTCACTGTTGCTTTTCTTAAAAAAGGGCAGTGACTTAACTTTAAACAAAACAAACTAGCAGCTTTGTCAAAAGCTTTGTTAAAATTACATCTGATCTAATTGCCTTTTGTTACTGTTTTCTTAGATAAAACATGGTTCTCTTCTCTCATGTTCATTTGTTCTCTCCTTTTGGTTTTTGCCAGTCAGACCACTCTTCTCTGTCCCTAATCCCTGAATATGATTTGTATTATTGATTTTTATTTTTTTTCCTGTGGCACTGCAGAAGTCTGTTCTGTTTGCTCTTGCAGATCTGTCTCAATGATAATTTTAATGAGCACTGAGAAGCAGATGATAATGTGGTAATAAAGTGAATCTAAATGGATGGAGCTACTGAACTATTAAGTATAGTTTTAATACAAGACTGGTATCCCTGCGTGTACTGTCTGGCCACGTTGTGCCTCTAATCTTTTTCTTTCCCTACCCGTACCTCAGGCAGAGAGGGTTCTTTCCTGCATACCCT